AAAAAGAGGCAGCTGAGACTTGGTGGATCAGACTTGTCTCACTTTTTGTTTGAGCCATAGGAAAGATGAGCCCTTGTGGCATCCTGCACTCAATTTCACCATTTTTCCTTCCTTTAATTAACAAATATTCATTGAGCACTCGCTGCTTGCTGGGAACTGTGCAATGTGCAGGGCATACAAGATGAGCACAAGGATGTGTGGTCTCTGATCTTGTGGAACTTAGTCTGATGGAGGAGCAGACATTAATGTAATAGGTACGAGCAAGTGCTCTTAGGGGAAGAGAGTGACAAATTCCATTAATTGATGGGGTGACAAGCTCAGAGACGGTGCAGGGGAGGCTGGAGGGATGGACTGGGTTGTTTGTGATGGGACTTGAAGAGCTTGGAGTCCACGTTTAAGGTTTTGGTCTGTATCCTAAGAGCAGTGGGGAAACCAGCCAGGTCATGACTACTTTAACTTTCTATTTTGGAAAAAAAAAATCTTTCTTAAAACTTTTTATTTTAAAATAATTTTTGACTTTAAAAAGTTTCTAAAATAGTACAAAGTGTTCCCACATACTCTTCACTCGTGTCCCCCAAATGTTAGCATGTTGCATAGCACATTTATTAAAACCACATGCGGATGTCCTTTTCTGGAGCAAAAGCCAACCTAGGATCCCACGTTGCATTTATACGTCTTCAGTCTTTATCTTTCAAGACCATAGGGCTTTTGAAAAGTATGGACCAGTTATTTTGTACAATGTCTCTCAATGTGTGTTTGTCTGATGTTTCCTCTTTTTCTTTTTTTTTAAAATATATTTTTATTGATTTTTTACAGAGAAGAAGGGAGAGGGATAGAGAGTTAGAAACATCGATGAGAGAGAAACATCGATCAGCTGCCTCCTGAACACCTCCCACTGGGGATGTGCCCGCAACCAAGGTACATGCCCTTGACCGGAATCGAACCTGGGACCCTTGAGTCCGCAGGCCGACACTCTATCCACTGAGCCAAACCAGTTAGGGCGATGTTTCCTCTTTTTAAGTTCAGGTTGTGCATTTCTGCGATGTTGCATACGTGTAGTGTGATAGGAGGTACGTGATGTCAACATGTGTCATAATCGGTGATGTTAACGTTTGACCACATGTTAAACTTGTGCCTGTCAATTTTTTTCATTGCTAAGATACTATCTTTTTTCCTTTTCAATGAGTAAGTATTTTCAGGAAGATACTTCAAGACTATGAAAATATCTTATTTCTCATCAAACGAATTAATTAATAGATGCACTAATTTTTGCATCTATTAATGACTCTTGCCTGACACAATTATTACTAATTTGCCAAATTGTGATGATCTACTTCCATAACTCCTTCTACATTTATTGTTTAGGATTCTGCTGTAATGAAGAACTGTTCCTCCATGTCATTATTTACTCAATTATTTATTTATATCAATATGGAATCATGTATATTTATTCTATGGGTCATTGTCCATGACTATCATTGATTTTGTTACTCAATTTATTCCCTATTTGGCTCTTAAGAGACTCTTTACTTTGACTCTTCTGTCCTTTTGACATTTATTAAAAATAAATAAGAAAATGAGAAAGGCTAGAAGAACCCCTGTGTTATTGGATTGGAATTGGAGGTACATTATTAATGATGTTCAATATGCAGGGTGTCCCAAAAACATGTATGCACACTTTCACAGCTGATAGCTCAATTGATGTTTCTCCCTTTTCAACCGGAGTAAGTTTTGAACAAAGGAAATTCATCTTAAAATGCTATTGGAAGTTTGAAAATGCAGTTGAAGTACAAACACTTCCTTTATAATTATTCACAGTGTGTCTACATTTTTGGGGGGTTGGGGGACACAATTTAAAGCTGGTAACTCACTTAATTTTCACTCCTTTTCAGGTTTAACTGATTTGAAATAATGGATAAAGCCAGACTAAGCTTTGAACAAAGAAAATTTATCCACTAGACTTTTTTTATGGGGATACATAAAAGATAAAGTTTATGGTACAAAAGTGGCAACAGTTGACAAATTGTGCTGACATGATTCTTGACGTTTGTGATTCCATTGCTTTGCGTTATCAGCAGTGTCTGGACCAGAACAACCATCACTTTGTAAACAGATTGATGAAAAAATATATTCATTTCTGTAGATTCTTTTAAATTTTGAAAATGAACTGTATGTTAATAAACACTGACTTTACAATCACTCAGAGGGTGTGTAGATTTTGGGGGTGGGGCATAGATGAACATAGACAATGATATAGATGTGTGTGCATGTGAATAGCCATCTATTTTCTAGCTCTGTCCGCTGAGAGGGCCTACGAGGAATAGCACCCCAGTCTCAATGAGCACATCTAGCAGCCAGATCTTGATTTCTAAGTATCATTTTACAAAAAGGGAGTCCAGAGGTCCTTGGATAATTGCAGGGTGAGGACAGAGAAAGAACAAATGGGCCAAAAAATATTTTCGTGGCAAAAATGAAGACAGTACTCAAAAAATGGTGGGGGCATAACAAAAGGAAAAAAGGGCCAATGGAAAGGGGCTCTCAAGAGCCAAATAGGGAATAAGCTGAGCAACAAGATAAATGATAGTCATGGACATTAAGCCATAAATATACATTCTTCCATATGGATATCAATAACTATTTGAATATATATAATTGAATGGGTATTAAGGCTCTGGTTGGGTGGCTCAGTTGGTTGGAGCATCATCCCACCTACCAGAAAGGCCGTGGCTTTGATTCCTGGTCAGGGCACATGCAGGAGGCAACCAATAGATGTTTCTCTCTCACATCAATGTCTCTCTCTCTCTCTCTCTCTCTCTCTCTCTCTCTCTCTCTTCCTCCCTCTCTCTAAGTATATCCTCGGGTGAGGATTTAAAAAATAATAATAATAAATTTTTAAAATGGGGGTTAAGAAACAATTCTTCATTACAGTAGAATTCCAAACAATAAATGTAGAAGAAATGATGAAAGTAGAAAAATCACAATTTGGCAAACACTGTAGGGATAATTGTTTCAGGCCAGAATCATTAATGGATACTAAAATTAGTAGAAGTAAGTATGAGAAGAAATAGGATATTTGTGTAGCCTTAAAGCATTTCATTTCCCTTCTCTAACAGTGAGAAATCTGGTTCTTTTATCCACAGATAGTTACACACATATAGTAAATTAAGAATGCTAACTATAAATATGAAAAACACATTCAGCCCTAACCGGTTTGGCTCAGTGGATAGAGCGTCAGCCTGTGGACTCAAGGGTCCCAGGTTCGATTCCGGTCAGGGGCATGTACCTTGGTTGAGGGCACATCCCCAGTAGGGGGTGTGCAGGAGGCAGCTGATCGATGTTTCTCTCTCATGGATGTTTCTAACTCTCTATCCCTCTCCCTTCCTCTCTGTAAAAAATCAATAAAATATAATAAAAAAACACACATTCAACTTCTAGAACAGCGATGGCGAACCTATGGCACGTGTGTCAGAGGTGACACGCGAACTCATTTTTTTGGTTGATTTTTCTTTGTTAAATGGCATTTAAATATATAAAATAAATATCAAAAATATAAGTCTTTGTTTTACTATGGTTGCAAATATCAAAAAATTTCTAGATGTGACACGGCACCAGAGTTAAGTTAGGGTTTTTCAAAATGCTGACACACCGAGCTCAAAAGGTTTGCCATCACTGATCTAGAATCTGTTTTTAGTCTTTGACAGCATAAAGCAAAAATACATTTTTTAAAAAAAACTTACTTAGTTTAGGTCTTTTCTTCCCCACTCCCCTCAGTGTAGTTATGTCATTCTTTTATTTACTTTTTAATACAGTGGGCTTGTTTTTTACTCTTTGGTATTTTATTTTTGGATCCTTCTACCCTCCTCCTCTAAACACGCACACACCCTTTACACACACACACACACACACACACACACACACACACACACACACACCCTGGCTCTATTTATTATTTATATATTAATTCTGTGGCTATGCAAAACATTGCCATGGCTCTAAAATCTGAACGCTACAAAAAGATATGTTCAGAGACAGGCCATCCTCCCCCTCCCTTCCACACTGTTTCCATTCCCCTTTTCCTTCCAGTTTCTCCGCCCACCCTCTGTAGGTAATCAATCACATTAGTTTTTGGTTGACCCTGCCTATATATTTTTTGCACAGATGCACTAATACATAAGTATTTTCTTAGGTCCTTTCACTCTTCCATGAAAGGTAGTGTACCACAGATGCAAAGATAATTCTGGTTGCTGGGTGGAAGGGGCTAGAGTGGATGTAAAGAGAATACTTAGCTGCTACTCTGGTCCAGGAGAGATGGTGGGACCCCAAGTGTGGCTGTGGTGGGACCAGAAAAGAAGAAAAAACTGTTTTGAGAGATGTTTGGAGGTGATATTGCCATGATTTATAATTGTTTGCAGAGGACAGTGTCATGGATGGTATTTTGATTTCTGGCTTTACTCATTGGGTGAGTGCTAGTCTTGCTCAGCTGAGATACAGAACTCAGTAAAAGGGTCAGATATGGGAGGGGCCCCACATGGTTCTGTGTTTGGACATATTGAGCTTGAAGTGGAAATGATGTAGGCCGCTGAGGCATTCAGCACTGAGGGGAGGTCTCAATAGGAATTTCTGAAGTTGTGAATTCTGACCTGGTCTTCCGCACACACAGGTCCGGACATGGGAGAGCAGCAGCACGGAGAATAGGATCCTCCGCTCAGTTCCAGTGAGCATGGAGCTCCCCACACCACCAAGCAGGTCTCAGCACCAGCTGGGTGGGTGTCTTACAATTCGACCCCGTTCTGACACTGTCTGCCTGGAGGTAGCGTCAGATCCCACAAGTTGAGGCCTCAGTCCCACAAAGCGGCCTCCCCCTCCCTTCAGATGCCAATTGCAAGTCAGGATTGTTACCTGTGCTTCTGGCCAACAGACTAAATCGGAGGTTCTCAGGATCCCCTCATTGGGTTTGATTCATTTGCAAGAACAACCCAAAGAATTCAGGAAACCAGTTCACTCACTGGATTACTGGTTTATTACAAAGTATATTAAAGGAAACTAATGAACAGCCAGATGAAGAGATACACAGGGCGAGGTCTGGAACAAAGGAGCTCTGTTCCTGGGAGCTCGGGGTGGGAACTGTTCTGGTTCACCGACCTGGAAGCTCCCCGAACTCTGGGGTTTTTAGGGAGGCTTCATTACATCGGTGTGATTGATTCAATCACTGGCCATTGGCAATTAAACTCAATCTTCAGCCCCTCTGCTTTGCCCAGAAGTGGGGTGGGTGGGAGGGTGGGACTAAAAGTTCCCAGGTGGTCAGCCTCCGTCCTCAGGCGACCTTGGGGTTTTTCAAAAGTCACTCATTGACATAACAAAACACACCTTTATCCGTCTCCTCATAAGAAATTCCAAAGGTTTTAGGATCTCTGAGCCAGAAATGGAGATGAAGACCAAATATATATTTCATATTAAACTGAAATCACAATTTCAGTCTCATGCAGAAGAAAAACCACAGACAAAAAAATTGGTCATTACCCAACCTCTTCTTGCAGGAGGCTGGCCTCAGGGCAGGGCAACCACCAGAAGACGCACTTTTCCAGTGGTGGGTGAAGTTAGAGGCACGGGGTAGTCCCTGCCTCTCCAAGTGGAAGCAGGGTGGCCAAAGATTAAGGCTAGAATTGTACCAGATTTCAAAATGATAATGATGCCATATTTGACCTAACCCTCGGCCACTGTATTTTTCAGTTTTTCCTCTCCCCTCCTCTCTCCCATCCATTCACCCATCCACCCATCTATCCATCCACCCATCCATCCACTCACCCACCCATTTATCCATTCGTTTTTCTGACTATATTTATATCCACTTATAGGTATAATTCCTCTTCAGGTAGGAGGTTGCATTAGATAATCTAAACATTTCCTTCCAGCCCTTAGTTATATGATGTAACTTTCACCTTAAGTTATATTGTGATTCTTTTTGACAGGGTGTTGGTCTTTCCAATTAAGTTGTTTGGTTTCATTGAAACATACATTTTTTAGTGAAGCTCACCTCGTCCTGAGCTTTGTCAGGATATCATTTTGACTCAGATTATTTTGAACTCGAAATACATGGCACGTGGTGAATAAGAACAACCATTCAGACAGGTATTGAGCAAGAGGGAAGGACGGCCTGGAATTAGAGCATCACCTGGTTTTATCTCACTTGTATGCTCTGTCAATGATGACAATGATGACAATGATCGTGGTGATGGTGATGATGGAAGTGATGGTGGTGATGGCAATGATGATGATGAGTTCAGTAAATCATGTGGCCCTTATAGCAGAAGGGATTTAGAGAGGTCATCCACTGTACCTTCTTGCCTCCTGTAAACTAATGCCCGATTCATTCCTGAAATATGCCTAACCCTATTTTTAAAAATGGCCCCAAGAATCTTGAAACCTTTTCTAGCCCCACCTCTTCCTGACTTTAGCCAGAGTTCCCTCCTGCTATATGTTTACCAGTATTCTTCCCCTTCATTTAAAAAATGATTGAAACAATAAATAAGTAATGATAGATAAATAATGAAACATAATTATTGGATAGCCTATAGTTCTTTGAACTACACAGTGAAAGAAAAATTAAAGGAAGCAAAAAGAATCAAACTATATGGTCATGGGCCGCAAGAGATTGATGAAAAAGGGGAAGCCGAGTTTGAGGATAGAGAAGCTGGAAATAAACGGTTCAGCCTTCATGGAAACACAAACACCATATTGATGCTGATCTCTTCAAATTCCAGGAATCATGGTGTGGCGGAAGGTGAGTCACCTGGAAGGTGTGCCAAAGCCTGGTTGTTACTTTGGACTTCCATTTGCACAAAGATCTCCCGATTCCTCAGCGCTGCATCGAGTGTGCTCTTGGCTTCCTACCCTTTCTACATTTGCTCCCTGTAAGGAGGAAGGAATAAAATCCAGAATACAATACTACTTCAAATTCCAGGAATCATGGTGTGGCGGAAGGTGAGTCACCTGGAAGGTGTGCCAAAGCCTGGTTGTTACTTTGGACTTCCATTTGCACAAAGATCTCCTGATTCCTCAGCGCTGCATGGAGTGTGCTCTTGGCTTCCTACCCTTTCTACATTTGCTCCCTGTAAGGAGGAAGGAATAAGATCCAGAAGACAATACTATCACTTATGGAGTTTCTACACCGTGTCAAGCACTGACCTTTACACAGTTTATAGCACTTGTTCATCCCCACAATTTTCAAAAGGATGGCATTATCCCCATGTTACAGACTGAGAACTTGACGTTCCAGGAAGTCCCAATCAGGGTTCCCTGATTGGTAAGGGATGGAGGTTGAACTGAGCCCAGATCTATATGCTCCATAGTCACTCACATGAGAAAAAGGGGCACGGAAGCATTTTACCTGAATTCCTTCTTGGATTCTAACTGAGATGAACATGAATTCTCTTGTCCATGCACCAGGTCTCTACCTCCTCTCATCTATGAGCCTACAGCTTCATATTATAATAGTATGATCCTTTCCTTCCTACATGTATGAGCATGGATCAAAGGATGGAGTGGCTCATCTCACATACACATATTGTAGACCCTGAAATCTTCACCTCCAGCTCTAACTCATATCAAACAGTGCCTGTTCTCCAGTCTCCCATCCGCCCTTCCTTCCATGGAATAAACACCAAGTTTTGCATACCTGCCTACCCCCGGGTTACAGGGAGGCCTCTGCCAGACCATACTTCACACTGTGAAGAAAGGCATCTAAGACATGCCTGGGCCCATCCCCTGACCTCTGTGCAGGACTGCACGTAGGCCTACCCCACCGAGTCACAGGGCAGAACTCCCAGAGTAGCACCTGAGTAGTGATTCAGAGGAGCAGCTGCCAGTATATCTGAGGGCACAGACCCCACGTGCCAGGCTGAGAGGCCTGTATTTGGCAGGTGGTTTGTTCCCAGCAGTAGCAAGACTGCAACAGGGTATGACAGATGCAAGGTCAAGGGGAAGTAGAGTTGTCACTTTGGTTTTTTAAATCAAATGACTGACTTTTATACACTTTCATCCAAAATCCTTCAAAAAGAGATAACAACAACCCTGAAGACACTCACCTCCCACCCAATCAGTTAAAGTTGAATGAAGAGCAATCCTATACGGATATAAGAGGGAGAGACATTCCACTGGTGGCTCTAACATAACCTTCAGGATAGCAGATGTCCTCATTGGGATCCCACTGCTCATTTTCAAAGTGAGGACAACTAGTCTATTTTTGAATCCCAAAGACCATCTATAGAGAGAAACATGCTCTTTGAAGGATGAGGACATGGGACACATGGCATCTTTCAATAACAAGGGAAGGAAGGCTCTCACATGAAGAGAATTGGGGAAGTGGGCATGCCACCAGGGTGAGGCTGCAGGGCTGGCAGGCAGGATGTACATAACTCTGGTCTGGAGAGAAATGACCTCTATTGGGGAGTGGGGATTTCGTAGGAGATACTCCTGACCAACCTGTGTCAGTCAGCCTTGAGTTGGGGTCAGGGCCCCAGATTCTTACCAAGGCTTACTTTACAGTGAACCCTAAGTTTCCCTATTTATCAGGGCAATTAACAAAAAACAAAGTGATCGTTCCTCAGGTTGTGTCTTGAAATATACACATGAAGCAGATGAACCAAATACATCATGCCCACTCAGTCCTCCGGGAGGGGGCCTTCTCCCTTTTGGGGAGTCTGTAATAAGACTTGGCTTGGCCAACTGAGGGAGTTCCTGTGGGCTGTGACAGACCAAGTCCGCAGCCAGGGCCAGGAGTAAGGCACCAAGCGTTTGGGTGTGTGTGTGAGAGAGTACACAGAAACCATCACACCCACACCCCACATACCACAACAGGGTGGAGCGGGCCACTCGTCCTTACCTTAACCTTCTCATCATGTTCAGAAATGCTGAGCTTTGACAGTGCTGGGCCCCTAAGGATGCAGCCCCAAAATGCTCAGCCAACCTAAAGGGCATCTTTCCAATAAGAGCTTCCTTTCTGGATCTGCCCCTCACATCTGGGGATCTTGGACAACAACCAGGTCACAGCCACGGGTCCCACTTATTTCCTAAGGGGAAGTAGGAGTCATGTCTCGCCACGTCTGATCCCCAAGCCTGTATTCACAAGCTCACACCACCCACTCAGATTACCTTCTTTTGGCATTTTCTCAAATTGCATAACCTGGTCAGGAAATTTGGGGTTGATAATGACTTACTCTACTGTTGCTTCCCAAAGATGAAATAAAAAGCCACAACACTAAATATGACACGAACAGCATTTAATCTCTGATATTTCAGAAGACACTTTAGGATGTGAAGGTCCCGTGGGGTGCTGTGTGGACGCATACAAGTACTGCGTGAGGGGAGGCAGCATGCAGCCTGGACTGGGATCAGGAGCCCAGCTCTGGCCCCGGCTCGGCTATTAAGTGGCATTGACTATGGATGGGTCACTTCCCTTCTCCAACAGGGTTGAGTTTGAGCATCTCTAAGGCCCCTCCCAGCTCCGATAGTCTATGCATAACTAGCAGAGATTGTATTGTGTTGATTTTCCGTAAGTACTGAGGAAGGTAAAAACTACTTGCAATAGCATGGGCAAGGCCTGAGACAGTTCTACTGTAAGTACCGAAGCCTCTGGTCTCGGGTTCCCATCTCAGTGTTGGCCCAGCCTGGGGTCAGTCATGAGAAGACTGAGATAGGAGCAGAAATCACAGAATCAGGGACCACCGCACAATTTTTTAGTGAATTTATCAAGTCCACAGCCAAGGACCCTCCCCAGCGGAGGTGTGCGCTTTGGCCACTTAACCTGCCTTCTCAGACCAACAAGAGCTCTGCTGCTCTCAATCAACCAAGAGATTTTAGTTGCAGGAACGTGTCCTATCCTTGGGACGGGGGACGGTGAGAAGGTAGCAGGTGAAGAGATGAGCGACCAACTCCTCTTGGCTCCTGTCCAGCAGGCCAGAACAGAGAGAGGGATCGAGCGAAGTATGAGCCCGTCTCCACCTATCGCAGGAATTCTGGAAGACCCGCATTCCAGGTGACGCTGCATGTGTGGCACTGGCACATCCATGGTCTCTTTTGACTTTTTTTAAAATCAGGCTTGGCCACCCCTCTCCACTCAGTTCTGGTTGGGCCGAACTCTACCCAATGTACAAATCTCTCTCTCTCTCTCTCTCTCTCTCTCTCTCTGTGGAAATCATATTCAGGATGATCATCAGATACTCATTGGCACAACCACCCTGCATCTGAGCGTAGGCTTGGACTCCAATCTCTCCCTCCTCTTCACTTCGGAGAGCAGAGCATTGGAAAGAAGTCTAACCCTGCCCAGCCCCTGAGCAGTGAGGTGGACAAGGCTCCTAGGTGGAGCCCTGAGTGTCGTCTTGTATGACAGGAGGCAGGGACGAGGTTGTGCGGGCAGTGCTGGTGGCCAAGGGCCTACTTTACTCCTTCCACAGTCCCAGCTTCTTCAGAGCCTCCCTTCTGTGCTCATCAGGGATGCCTTTGGGGGAAATCTTGACACTGACACAAGTGGGTCGAGGCAGCTTGTCTCGGCTCTGTCCTTGGTAAGACAGGCGCTTGGAGCTCTGCTCATGGTCAGCCAGCATGCTCACCTGAATCCCTGCAAAGTCCTTCCCAGTGCCCAAGGAGGCGGGGCGGGGCCGGGAATTACGCAAGACATTGGGTGAGAGTTTGTTCAAGAAGGAGTCTTTTCCCAGAGAGGTGCTGGCCTTGGAGCTGGGGTCTTTCTCAGCTGAGAGGTAGCTGCCCAGCCCCACCCCTGACCGCTCCAGAGTGTTGGACTTGAAGTTCATCTGCCTCAGCCCAGGGATGCTGCTCTCCTGCAGCGTCAGGGGATTACTTACCCCTGGGGCCCTAGGAATGGGGATTGGCATAGACTTGGCAGCTGGAACCTTCCCTGGAGTGGGTTCCTGGGCAGGAATGAAAACCTTGCCTGGAGTAGACCCCTGAGCTAGAGCTGGAGCCAGGGCTTTCATTGGAGAAGGTCCCCGGGTTGGAGCAGGAGCCAATGCCTTCCCTGCTGAGACCTGAGGTGCAGGCTGAGCCAGGGCAGGAGCTGGGGCTGGGGCAGGGGCCTGAGCGCCAGTCCCCTTGAGTCTGATGGAGCTGGGGGGCTTAGTTAAGTGGGGGCTGGGCTTCTCTTGGTCCAGGGGCAGCCCCAGTTTCTCCAGAGCCTCCTTGCGCGCTTTCCTCTGCTCCTGCAGTGAAGAGGAGACCAGGCCGGAATCGCCGGGGGCAGCCTCGGGGTGGCGGGACAGCCAGGGCTGGGGGTCGCTGTGGAAACTGCTTCGGCTGCTCTTGAGAACAATATTAGGGGGCAGCTTCCGGGGCTTAGGCCCTGTGAGGGGAGCTACTTGGGCATTTGGATCCCGCCCTGGTGGGACGGAAGCATCTGCAGCTCTGGCGTTCTGAGACGACATGGCAGGAAGAGGCCGAGGCTGTCCTGGTGCCCCCGTTGAGCCTTTCTCATTGGCTTTTTGGGACATGGCCTCTGAAGAAGTCTCCTTTCTCTTCTGGGGGCTGAGTGACGTGAGGAGCTGGGGCGCGGGGGTCTTCTCCCCTGGCCCTGTGGGCAGGCTGTCTTCCCCACACTGCTCGGGCTGGGCGTCCCGGAAAGCCTCTGGTGGGGGGATGAGCGCTATGTCCAAATCAAGGGCGTCCTCCTGGAGCCCGGCCGGAGCCTGGCTGGGCTCCCTGCTCTGGCCGAGCTGCTCTTCCTTGGGGTCTGGGATGACCCTCTGGACTGGAGCCTGGCTGGGCTCCCTGCTCTGCTCTTCCTTGGGGTCTGGGATGACCCTCTGGACTGGAGCCTGGCTGGGCTCCCTGCTCTGCTCTTCCTTGGGGTCTGGGATGACCCTCTGGACTGGAGCCTGGCTGGGCTCCCTGCTCTGCTCTTCCTTGGGGTCTGGGATGACCCTGTTGGGTTCCCCTGGCAGGTGGCTGTTCGTCTGGGGGGTGCTTTTCCTGAGGTTCTGGTTCCTACTGATGTGGATATTGCGGGGGAGGCTGTAGGAGCCGGATCTGAAGCCCAGGCCTTGGGGTTCAGGCAGAGTGGGGAAGCTGGACTGGGTTGCTCTCCTTGGCTCTGGTATTTGCTGAGCAACCGTCTCCTCTGGATGTCCTGTGAGGGGCCGGGAGAACAGGCAAAGAGAAGACAGAGGTGAGAACCCTGCTGCCAAGGGAAAAGCAAATATTCCCTGAACTCTGGTCTCTAATTTGCATGGATGGGTTTTGTTTTTATTGGTTCTTTGCTCTTAAAGGGGCAGTACTCTTGCCTGGATATCATTTAGATGAGCAGATCGATACTAGCAGATTCCCTTCCATCAGGGATTAATTTTTCACAACAACCAGGGAAAGGGCAGCCCCCAATGGCTCTCTGTCCTTAATGCAGGCTCTTTCTAACTGTCTACAGAAGCACCAGGGGTGGGAGAGACCCAGGACTGTCCCCTGGGTATCTTGGGGCTTCCCAGTAAATGATCCAATGGAAACATTGAACTCGAGCAGCATGAACAGGTGATTTGCCCTTGTTTAGGTCCACCTTCTTCCTTCACTTCCCATACTGGTAAGTACCCGGATGATTCTGGGTAATGGCCAAAGCTGTCCCCACACCAGAGAGCGACATGGGCTCTTTCCTTCCCGTGAGCTAGTCAGGTGCACCGGGCCCACTGGGCCAGGGAGTGAGTCTGAAGTGGCAGTGAAGCCCCATGTTCCCATGTACTGCTCGAGCTTCAGGGACGTTCTAACACATTACCAATAAATAGTTGCTAAATGAATGAATGAATGATTGCAGCCTTGATTCCAGCGGGACTCTCCTCAGGAGGAAAGTGCCCACCTACCCTGGGACATATGGCCCCACACTCACATGCCATCCTGTCCCCCTTCTACTGAGCCTCAGTGCCCACCTACCCTGGGACATATGGCCCCACACTCACAGCCACACTCACATCCTGTCCCCCTTCTCCTGAGCCTCAACACCACTGGCTCTGCACACACTCTCCCCAGGGCCTTAAGGTGCCACCCACTCAGGCTAAGGGGGCCCCTCCCTCTTCTTATCTCCTGCAGCCTCAGCCTCTGGGTCATCCAGATTAGCTCCCCACACTGACTCAGACTCTACAGAGCCAACCACCCACCCCTCCCTCACCTCTGTGGTTCTATTTATTTAGAATTCCTCCATGAGTGGGTGGCAGCTGGTCAAACCCTCTTCCTCCCAGGCCTCTGACATATGTAGAAAAGCATAGGAAGCTGGCTGGTCAGCACACCCTCCTTCCCTCCAGGGTCAAAGCTTTATTCTGGCCAGGAGAGTGGAGGGGAGTGTGGACACTCCTTCTGCTGCCTGTGACCCTTAAAGCCAAGAGCCATCAAAGTAGAAGGACGTTCAGATTTCCTGCGTTTCGCCAAAGGTGCCCAGACAGTCTCTCTTACCCTGGGGAGCAGGCTGGAGTAGGGGCAGTGCTCGGGGACTTTGGGGAGTTGTGTCTTGCTCAGACTCCTCAGTGGACAGTCCGCTGTCAGCCTCGGTGTCCAATGAGCCAATGGTCTCCTCCAGGAAGAGCAAACACTCCTTCTCTTCAGCGGACAGGAAGTCGTAGCTGTCGGTCTGGAGTGAGGACAGGAGGAAGGAGAGGAGAAGGCAGCTATGAGAGAAAGCTCGGCAGAAACTGGCGGAGCCTGAGAACCACCCTGCGTTGGGGAAGGAATGCTGAAGAGCTGGAAACCTTTCCACGGTGCTACTCTGCAAACCTGCTGGAGTTGCTTCCTGAAACTGTAGGCACCAGGGAGGGCAGAGACTGGCGGGCTGCTGTCCCACCAGCACCCAGGTCAGGGGGCTGGGCAGGCAAATGGCAAGAGGCCTTTCTTTTGCTCAGTCCTGGGTGACATGCTTGGGAGCACAGATCAGAAGCAGACCCAGGTTCTCATTCCGATTTCTCTGCAATTATTTGTTGTTTCTTTGCTCAAATATGTCCAATATTTCACTTTGTGTGTCTCCGATTTAGCTCTAAGTTATACGAGCAACATAAAGATTTGACCTTCAACTTGAAAGGTATTGCTTTCAACTTTTCTAAGTACTTCTGCATACTTGACCTGGCATGTCAAGGACAGGATGAGGACAAACAGGAAACTCGGCCAACTGCTGGCTGCCAGGCCAATGGGAACAGTGGTATGACTAGCCACAGATACATCTACTAAATAATTTATACTTGACTCTGAAATGCATTCCATACAGGATTTTTTTCCCATGTGTATTTACCTTCTTGATAGTATTTGGCTCTGCTAACATTCAAATGAGTGTGCATTTCTTACGCAAATAGTAACGTAAGGGGGGAGGGTGAAGAAATTGGATGAGTACAGGGGGAGGGGGGAGAAAGCTATTTGGTATTAAATATTAAGTAGATGTTAAGTAACTGATTTGAATTAGAAGAAATCCCATAGAAATATCTAGAAAAAAAATGCTATGGTCATTTCCGATGGTTACTGACCAATGTTCTACAGGCCAGGAAGACCCATGGAACAGTCACTCTCCAAACAAGAGGTTGAAGGGAAAACTAAAAGGGCAAATAGGAATATATGAAATTTGGCCCAAGTCTGTTCCTGGTATCTTTGTCCCTCTTCCTAATATTTGAGATGCTTCAGAGTGATATATTCTCCAGACCCACTCAGATGGCCAGGAAAGATTTTGGGATAGCCCTAAAAACATCCTGGGAGGAGGGAAGAGAGCTGTTGGAATAACCCTTCCAGTCCCAGACTCCTTAAAGTGCCATCTGTCAGCTGACTGAGTGACAACTGACAGAGGGCACTTACATCTCAAGGGGAGCCCTAAACATAGCCCTTGGAAGCCCTGAAGCCAACTCCAGACAAAGATAAGCCAGCTCTGGGTTTACCCTTTGTGGATGTTTCTTTTTGAAAACCTTACATCCCAGTCATACTCTGCGTCCAGTGGTATGTAACTATGCTCCATTTTTACATATCAAGACTCATTGACTATATATCCTCACCTGAGGATATGTTTTCACCAGTTTAAGAGAGAGAGAAAGAGAGGGAGAGAGAGAGGGGGAAATATCGCCAGATTGCCTTCCATATTAGAGAGAGAGAAAGAGAGGGAGAGAGAGAGAGAGAAATATCGCTAGATTGCCTTCCATACGTGCCCCGACCAGGGATCGAACCACAACCTAGGTATGTGCCCTGACCAGGAATAGAACCTGCCACCTTTTGTTGTACAGGATGAAGCTCCAACCAACTTAGCCACACCGACCAGGGCTCACTGACTATATTAAACATCCTTGATGCAGTCGACACTCTTATAATCCTTACATTTTCAAATACCTCTAAAGCCATAAACTATAAATTCTCAGGTGTTATTATGTATGTGATGAATTTCCACAGGAAAGGCAAGCTTACATTTCACATAGGGCAGGTTTACTCTTTCACACGAGCCATACAACAATTAAGATTTAAATTCATGCCCAGAAACATTACAATTTATTATGTGCCATTCACAAATCATTAAACATAGTGACTTCGGAAGAGTCTCAATCTCTGCTCATACATAGATTAATTCTTTTCTACATAGAGAAATGTGCTAAGTGCTATATATACATTTCATTCACCTCCCTGCAAGAACGCTATGAATTCAGTTTTAATGTTATCCCCATTGTAAAACTAAGGGGACTGAAGCTTAGAGAAATGAAGTCATTTGCCCAAGGTCATACAGCTCATACTAAGGAACCCAGATCTGTTCAGCTCCAGAACCCAGGCACTTAATTACTCTGGTCTCTTTGATCTTTTTAAAGTCTGAAATAAAGCTGCTAATTGCAGAGAACCAACCTCAGGAACCCATGTGCTACAAGCGTCTGTATCCTAGTTTCCACCACGACCTCAGATCACCGGCCTGCTCCCTCATCTCCACTCAGACCCCCAACCTAATGAAAACTAGAAAAAGTCTCACTTGTCCACCTGCGCTCTGGGGTTGTCCCACCCTACAGAACCATGGGTGACTCAGAGGCAGAAAGCATCAACTCGGATGATTCACTCCCTGACAAGGAAGATGAAAGAGAAGGAGCAGTGAGCCAGGTCGGTGGTGGGCAGGGCGGGGCGGGGCAGGGCAGGTGTGCAGAGAGCGGGCCAGGTTGCAGGACAGAGAGTACGTACAGATCCGGAGCGGGTGGAGGTGGTGCTCGTCATGCTGTCCCAGCTGCCGATGCGGGTCACGGGTTCCGAGCCAGGCCCCTCTGGCCACAGCTCCCTCTCGGGCATTGCCAGAAGCAAGGTGCAGGGACGGCGAAAGGGGCTCCCAGAGGGGAAGCGGAGAGAAGCGAAGAATGTCCCAAGCTGGGCCTGAAAAGAAAAGAATCAAAGCCATGTGTGAGCCAAGCCTGGGCTCGGGCAAGGCTCTGCCCAGGCCCTGGAGCAGCATGGCAGCAGGGACATCAAGCAAGCAAAGTGTTGGAAAGGGCCGTGGACAGCCATTACCCAAACCCAACCCCTCCCCCAGCCCGCAGGGAAGGACACACAAGCTGGCTCACATACATGCAGAAGGACGGACTCAGGTGGTGGAGGAGCATTTAGTCAGAAAGGAAATTCCATCATCTCCTTTAGTCACCTTTCTCTCTGAACTCGGGGGCTTACCCTCCACCCTCATTACTATAAACAGTAAATATTATAGGGGTTAATAGCTTGGATTCTGGAGGTCGTTGGATCTGGGTTTAAATCACAGGTTAGCCATTTACAGTTATGTGACTTGAAGCAAATGACTCTTTCAGCTTGTTTTTCCTCATTGAACAGGATTAATGTAAGGACTAAATGAGAACAGTTAGCATCATTTAGCTGGTAGTCAATATTAAGCAATGAATAACTAACTACTACTGTTCTTATAATAAGAAAAAGACAAAATCCACTTGGGATCAAAGTAAATTGAAGGAAGGGAAACAAGAGTTTAGAAAAGACGGGTTCAGGTTTAAATGGGAGACTATAGGCTTGAAAGAAGGAACAGGGCCTTAATAGTACCTATGTCATAGGGTTGTCTTAAAGATACAACAAAATAGTCCATGTAAAACACTTGCACAGTGCACGGCCCGATTGTTAGCTGCTATTATAGTCAACAGCACCATCATCACAGCAGCCACCAGCAAGCCACCACTGTCTCCCTAGCCTTGGACACACATCATAGCACCTCCAGTGGTTGGCACAAACCCAATTTTCCTTTTGTGCATGACCCCCTCTATTGTTGAACTGATTCCAAGGAGGTTTCCTAACCCGTGTCAAATAAACAAGAAAAATGTCCCAGATAGCGTCCTCCCAACTCCAACTCCTAGGGAAAAACATTTCAAGTTCATTGTGCCAATAGTAATAGCAAAGGAAGGCCATCCACCGTCTGAAAATCACAAGTATTTTCACATGCCTGTGTGTGGGAAACACTCCAGCAGAATTGGGAAGGCCAGGGTGACTGTGAAAATGAAATTCTAAAAAAAATATATAAAGATTAAAAAGACAGACTAAACAGAAAGTTGAGGGAGAGGTAGAATACAAAATATAGAATAGAGTCTGATTCTGAATCCATATTTCCCCCATGACACCATACTTTGTCTTCTACCATCTTTCCTACCCTTCCAATACTAGGTAAAATGTCCTAGAAAAAAATGTGTTCTATTTGAGATCTCGGGACTTGGGGTTTGGATTTCAGGGCTTGTTGTTCCTTCGCCAATAACTGCTCCCAATGCCTAAGTCAGGTTTGGGCTGTGTTGGGTGTGTCAGCCTGCCAGCTCCATAGCGCTGACAAGCACAAGGCCTCAGAGAGGTCCCCTCCTGCTTGGGAGAAAGCCCTCAAGTGGAGCAGGGAGGGAGGAGCAGGACAATGGGGAATGAAGAGGGAAGATCCCTAATGACACAGGTAGTTTATGGTGGCCCAGCGCCTCTCAGGAGATAGAGAGGGAACAAGAAGGAACAGAAATGCCAAAGATGCCCAATGATAAGTCATCATTGGGTAAGGCAGTTCTTAGAGTTCCTTCATGAGGTTAGTTGCCCAACATCTAAAACCCCAAAGACACAGAAACAGGAGAAGTCATGTGAATGATGTCCAGTCACCTCCTACATCCACTCCATTGATGACTGTCTAGATTCAGAAAGTACTAACTCATTCTTGACATTCTATGAGATTGATGCCATTACAGAAAAGGGGAACCATCTGTCATAAGATGAGGCACACAGAAGGCGCTCAAGGAATGCTAGATGAATGAATTTGACATCCATTTAGTGTCTGTTGAGTTGAACTATGGGAAGACCTCTTTTTCTGGCTTCTACCCTATTACTATAAGCGCAATGGAATCTGGTCAATGCTTTCAGTTAAACTAACAGGCATGGAGCATGCGCTGTTTCTGAGAAGTGAGTGGAGAACCATGGGTCTAGTTTTTGCCTTCATTTCTCTTCTCTGAAAAATCGGGGCAGTAAATAGTCAAAGTGTCTCACTGTGATGAATATAATATTCTCTGTGAATGGGTGAGAGGTGCTCCCTCTTCCTTTCAGAGAAAATGACTACCCAGGTTCTTCCAAGCACCCTTCAGTGTTTATAGTGGTTTCCTAGCCTATCCTTCCTCCTAGGGTGCCTGTCACACTCTCACTTCAGAACCAGGGTGGCCTGAAGCAGGTGGAAGAGATGGAAACAATTTGAATAGCACTACTTCAAAAAAAAATATAGCTTACAAAGTACTTTAAATATGCTAATGAGATATTCAAAATAGCCTGATAACTTAGGCAGGATGTGGCCCACTTCTCCTCCCTAAGGGAAGCAAGGAATGACCTCTAACTGAACATCCAGGACAGCCGGTGGCCCCTGCCCTTCCAGAGGGCATCTCAGACTGTCCAGATGCGAGAGGGCCATGCACCTAAAGAAGGTCATTGGCCACTCCTGACTGAGCACAGAAGCCCTACAGTCACCCTTCTTCTAACTCACACCTTGAACCCTGTATATCACCTACTCCAGCTTCATGCTCCACGGCCAGGTTTGGCCCCAACAACAGCTATCTCCATACTAAAGACATTACACCAAGTGCCACTGAAGATCGTATCATCAGACACTACATAACCACTGCAGAGACAAATCCCAACCTGAAACCAAAGTTCAATGAGTCCTGAAGTGCTCCAACCTCCTCTCCACACCTTGCTTTCTGACGCAGCGTCTGACCCGTGAAAAGGTCTTCTCTCCCCACTCCCACTTCCCCTCCCCCCTCCCTCACCAGTTTGGCCTGATCTGGATGCTGCTGCATTTCCTTCCACCAGCTTTACAACCTTGAAACTTGGGGGCTATTTCAGGGCAATCATTGAAACCTGAGATATTTCAACCTGATAAAAAGCCCGAGTACAAGCACTCGGGTGAGAGTTTGGTATCTTTGAACCCTTGACCTCTGGAGGACTTGAGGGGAGGAGGGAATGGGTTAAGAAATGTGTATAGTTAGGGCTGGCCATGCACAGGCACATTAAATATTAACCGCTCCACTAAAGCCAGCCAAGCCTTGGAGGAGAGTAAATAAATAGCGTGTGGAATTCTGGCATCTGCAGAGGGTGGGGTGGGCAGAAGGCTTCGGCCCCATTTCAGTTTTCTCTGTACCTTCTAAATAGACTCCTCCCATGAGCCACCCCCACATCCTCCCAGGGCTTGGTCTCCCTCCCCAGTAGTCAAGGAGGCCGCCTATTTCCTTTCGACCAGGTGTCTCTGCTTTTCTACCCAGAAATGCACCCCAGGTTGGAGAAGATCCCAAGGAAACCACCAGGACGACTTCCATTGCACTGTGTGCATCCTCTCCGAACACGTGGGCAAGTTTCTGCGTGCGTCACGGCAACGCTCTAATCCCCCTTTTCACCCCTGGGTCTGAGGGAAGGGGTTGCTATACATATTCTCTGCACAAAAGAGCTTTGTTGGAAATCCAATACAAGGGTTGGCAAAAGTAGGTTTACAGTTGTTCATTGGCAAAAACAAGAATAAACTCTGTTTCCCGTAGTCACAACTGTTCACCTACTCTTGCCCACCCCTGTATATCTGTACATTCACTCAGCTTGTGTCTCAGACCCCAGGTCTTCCTGCTTCCCTCTTTCCTGCAGCAGGAGAAAGGAGGCATAGGGCAAAGTTACAGGCCAGAGTGTACGCCCCCCCAGAGGTGGATAATGGAGAGCTGACTTACTATTCTGACTTGACTTCTGCATCCAACTTCCTTGTGCAAGTAAACCTGTCAAACAAGCTGCTAACTGGGAACCCTGAAGGAAAGAACACCCGGGCCTGGTTCTCTCTGTGGACACGATCACACTCCTGTGACCTGAGCCCCACTCGGAACTCCTACCAGAGTCAGCATGCTACCGCGAGAGAGTCATAAAAATGTGGGTGAGGCCCCAGCACAGCCAAGTAGCTTTCTGTTTGCCAGTCTCCATGTCTATTCACAGGTAAAGTCAGAAAATTAATTGAGTTGAACCCAAATAAAGGGGACTCTGCAACTGGCTTGTCCATGAGGTTTCCAGAGATGAGCTGGTAGCCTGAGCTGGAGTTTTTCCAATGTAACCAAACCTCGCCTCCCCTCACAAACAACCCAGCGGAGCTCATGCCTTACACACCTGTCCACAGAAAGCTCCATTATCACACCTCCAGTATTACACACACACACACACACACACACACTGCACCCTTTACTTAAATAAAGATAGTGGGTGAGTTGATAAAGCCATGGGAGAGTTTCCAGTAGAAATGCAATGGAAAAAACTACTCCCATTCCCTGGGCCTTCCTGCATTTTGACTTCTCTACTCCAACGATTCTCGTCCAAAGTCACAAGTCAATTGGAATTGCTCAGAGATGGAAATTTCCAAAACAAACCTATTTGCCCCCCTTGTACGCTTATCCAACCTAAATAAGCAGGTGGAAAGAAAAAAAAAAAGCATTCCAGCCCTGGTCTCCACAAAAGCCCTTCAATCCAACCTTCTTGCATCCCCAACTGGCCTCTGGGAGTTGAGGAACAGAGAGGAAAGCCCGCTAGCTGGGGTGTATAGGGCTCCCCACAACCCTCTAGTTCTGAGTTCCCACACAGCCCCCTACCCCCTCACACACACATACCTTGCTACAGTATAAGCAATAGTTGGTTAGCGATGAACTCACCTTTACTGGGTGGCGGGCTGAAGAGAGGAAAGAAATACCCTTATATTTCAAAGGGCGGAGACGCGGACTGAGCCTGCTTCCCCTGCCTCCCGCTGTTTTCTTCTTTTGACCTCTTCCTGACTTACCTGGACAGGTAAATGCTTCATCTGTGCTGGTTCGCCCCACCCTGCCTGACTCTCAGCCAATCCCAGCATTCTCTCCCTCCTTCTCATTCCAGCTGTTTCTCCAGGGAAGGTGTGGGAGGGGAATGGGCAGGGCGGTGCTGCTCTCACTTAGCCAATCATCTCTTGCCATTCCTTCCCCTATTAAGAGCCAATAAAGAGCCCTTTAAAAAAAACACGGAGGGCTGGAAGGAAGAGGGACTGGTTTGGGCTGAGACTGGAAAAGGAGAGTTGGCAGTGAGGGAGTAGGCAAAAAAAAAAAAAATTTTTGTTTTTTAAATTACATCTTCATATAAAGAAACAGTCCACTGGGCAGTCTGCTCTTTTACGCATCTGTCTTAAACTTGGTTTTCTATCTAGAGCTGCCTTCTTCCACTTGGAACGAAGTTTTCCCCTGAATTCTCCAAATTAAAATCCTCTGTGGCCAATTTCGTTCATGACTTTTCCAATCTTTCAGAATCACTTTCATCCTCAAGCCTTTGCCTAGCAGCTCATAGTGTTTCAAAGTCCACTCCTGACCGTGAGGGAGATGCTTAAGACTAGGGATGCCTAAGACTAGGGATGA